TGAAAAAAAAAAAAACAAAAAAAGAAACAGTTTTTTTTTAAAGGAAAGGAAAATGACAAAATTTTTTGAACCTTTTATATAACGGTGAAAACCAAAATGACGTCGTTTTCAATAAAGACAAAACGACATGTTTTTACCCTGTAAGGATCAACGCGTCACCCGTGACCTTCCAGCGGTTTGCGCACCGACCCACGACCCACTTCTCCATCAGCTCTGATCGTCTGATGAACGAAATTGAACCGCTAAACCCGAATCGAACCGGTACGAAATTGCTGAGCCAACCAGACTGGCCTAGACAAGCCAAATCGCACTAACATCAGACCGAATACACGTTGATCGACTGTTGACCATCCAGTTTCAGTAAAAAATTTTTTTTTGAATTTTTTATATATTATTTTTATTAATATTTATGCATATTAAAATATTTATATTTGTTAGATTTAAATGATGAAATTTGGTTAAAATTTTTTTATAATTTTGTTAATTTTAAAATAAACTTTAAAACAAATAATATAAAATAAATTTAATAATAATACTAACTAATAAAAATGTGGAAAAAAAAATTTTATCTGACGATGAGATTCAAGTACTCCGAGTAGTGATCAGAAATCTCTAAGGTGAGAAGATTTTTTAAAAATATTACCATTGTATTGGAGTATTTATAAAAAAAAATTTCAATAAAATAAAATTTTCCTTTCTTTTTGTTATAAAATAGTAATAAATAAAAATTGATTAATAAAATAAAATATAAGTAATAAAAATGAGAAGAAAAGAAATTTTATCGATGATGAGATTCTAAAGTATTCCGAGTATAGATGTTTTAAGAAATCTTTAAATGAGAAGATTTTTGTAAAATATTATCATTATATTAGAATATTTATAAAAAAATCTTCAATATAATTAAATTCATTTTTCTTCAAAATTTCAATTAAAAATAAATATTAATAAAATAATTAATAAAAATGTAAGTCTATTAGAGTCACGAGCCAGTTCATCAATTGTTAATAATTAAGGCTCCATTTGATTGGAGCTTTTGTTATTTGCGATTAATTATCGATGTCAAAACATCTCTTTACAAATATAACCATCTTCATAGTTTGGTTAGTAACCCAGTTGCCGCTGCATTGGCATTTCTCCTTAATTACCAGCTCAATCCTCTTTTCTGGTATAAGTTTCAACTGGTCTTATTCTCCGATCTATCTATTTCTCCTTTGTTTGTAAAGACATAATGAACCTCCGTTCCTGTGAATTTGTTTCCAGTATGAGCTTCTGAAAATTCTTATCCATAGCCAAATTAACTCCTTTTTTGAAGGCCATAGCCTCGGCCATCAGTACATTAGAAACCCCAACAACCCTACGTCTGCATTAATTTCGGGCAATAACACCAGTGTCGGTAGTTTTGCCATTGTGGTCAAAAGCTCCAATACAATTTTATTTTAATCCATTAATTCCTCCTTCAGCAGAGACCATCTTTCAGGGACTTTTTCCGATTGCCCAATAATGGACTCTTTACTGACCTTTAAACCATGACATGCTTCAAACTATAACCCTCTTTTCCAGTCACACCCCAAGACCATGTGCACAACAGATAAAATACAGCTAGGATTTTCCACAACTTTTCTCCTCCGTAGGTTCAGCCCAACTGGAATAACATTACTACACAACCTCCACTCGAAATTCCTAATTTTGCTAGGAATTTTCAAATTCCATATAACCTTCCAAATTAATCTCATTATCAACCATATGGGAAGAAGCAGAGTTGTTTCCAGCCACTTGCTAACTTTTTAACCTATGGTACCATCCAGATTTTATAGAATAAAAAATATGCTTAATTAATTAATTTCATTATTATTACTTATTACAGTATTATTTTTATTTTTACAATTATTACAAACGTTTGGATTATGGTTTGGTTTATATATTACTCCAAACCTTTGGATTATCATTTGATTAGATTTAACAACTGGAGTCATGTACATAAAATATTAAGTAAATATAATATCTTTATCACTTCGATTGAAAATAATATATTTTGAATATATTAACTATCAAAATTTAATTATGATTAAATAAATAGTTAAACATTTTCAATTAACATAAAATATAACATGTTTTATTTGTATGAATAAAGTATAAAATTCAATTATTGAATTGTCAAAATATAGATCACATAAAAATATAAAAAGGTGAAAAACTAAATTAGTTGCTCTCTCCTTTTATTTAATATAATAGTCTTAAAATTATCATTTAAAATATCTCAATATTTATATTCAATTTTTTAGTTTCTATTTGATAAGCTAGAAACTAAATAGATCAAGGACCATCAATTTGGAAAGGGGAAATGAACTCCTCTTGTTGCATATCTT